CATGGCATGACCATGTGCACCTCGGATGCCAACACTCTGCACGCTCCCAGCATGAAGGCAGCTGGGATTGTCAGAGGCTAGAGGGGAAAATATCCCAGGAAACAGGCTCCTTTTTTCTTCCCATGTGCCACACAGGGAGCACCATCTGCACTGCTCTCTGTGTGGGTGTGGAGGGAGTAGAGCTATGTGGGGCCTAAGCTGAAACACAGCTTCGCTTACACCTGCTCAGTAGGCAGGTTGCAAGTGGTATTAGGACAAGGTAAGTCCAGGAGGCAGCTGCAAAGGTTTAAGTTTCCACGGCTGCAGCAGGAGAGAGACAGAAGGTGACAGGCATCTGGACAACAATTTTATACTGAAAGAAAAGTGAATTTCTCTTGCAGATAACAGAGGGAATAGAAAGAGCATTGTAATTCACGATTGCTGCACCAACTACCACTAGGAAGTGGGAGAGTAGATTCTGATTATGATTGTTTTTGTAAATGGAGTCATTTGGACCAATTTTCCTTCATATTTCCTTGCTCTGTAGGTGTTTCTCAATCTGACGAAAGAGCTTGTGAAGGATCAGCAAGAAGATGCTGAGCTGCCCCAACAGCTACCTGGAGCCAGTGGCCAAATGGGCAGTGACGGGATGTCTGTGAGCACAGATACCTTCACAGAAAGAGATGGTACTAAGTTACCTCCGGGTTTTATTCCAGTTTTGTGGCAGATGCCAGCAGTGATGTGTGGAGTGACTGGAGCTCCCCGTCTTCTTTCTGTGTTGAAAACCACATTTTGCCCAGCCAGGAATTGCAAAACCAATAAATGACTAGAAGTACAGTGCTCAACAGTTGTTTAGATCCACTGGTTTAGAACAGTCTGAATCACAGAATAAATTACAGAGGGGTTTTGTTTACATCTCCTTCCTTTAAATTGATCTGGCTTTTAATCAAATCAGATACAGTGTATGGGTGAAAGAGGAAATGTATACCTCTGAAAGTAATTGCTGTAATTGAGGTAGAGGATTATTTCTGTGTAACTAGTAGAACTGAGGAGAAACTTTGTGGCTGCCCCTTAGCCTGTTGCAAAAGCAGCATCACAGCTCTGAGCTGGGTCCTCCTTGCTGCTTTATGCTGTCCCCTGGTTATTGCTGTGTGGTAAAGCAGCTCAAACGACCAGACAGCAGAATAAGTTCACATTCAAAAGAGAAGCAAGTATCTTGAAATACCAGAGGTATTTTCATATTCACTTCTCAAAGCCATTCTGCACTGTAAATGTGACTGTAAACAGTAACTCATATGCACAGAGAAGTGTTTTGTGTCACCCCTAATGAGAGCACTGAAAAGGATTTGCTTCATGTTGTACTATGTAGGGTAATATTTCAGAAAAAGAAGTAGGTTGCACAGGATTTGGCTCTGCTTTTAGTATACCACAACTCCATCCATGACGAAGATTGACTGGCTTGTGTGCCTTTTTTCCTTACTTCACGATTAATTCTTGTGTTGATTTGCTTGAGGACCTGCTTTGTAAATTATTAAAATTTTCAGTTTGCAACTATAAAAATACTAATATGTTTGCCTTGTAAGTTGCAGCTGGGTAGGTAGGATGTAGATAACTTGTTGCATCTGGAAGCCTGCGTTCCTCTTGCAAGACCTCAAAATGAATTCACTACATGTACGCATTTGCAATTAAACCAAAAAAAAATGGTGTTAAGTGAGCTTTTGACTCCGCAGCCAAAAGATAACTCCTGTCCCAAGCCTGACCGTTGCATATGTTTCCACTTAGTAGTTTTGGTTTACCATCTGTAAAGGAGTGCAGGAAGCTCAATGTACTCCCAGGGTACTATAACCATCAGTTCCCTGCATTTCACAAATACTGATCCACAACAAAATTCATTCTTTTGTACCCAGATCAGCTCCTGATTAGATCAAAAAGCCTGCAGGGTTTGCCGTTGCTGCTTAAGAAGACATCAGCTTTGTTCATTAAGAGGCTCCACCACACGCGGCGGGATGTCAGAGGCTTCGTTGCCCAGGTCCTTCTCCCCGTCCTCTTTGTGACGGCTGCCATGGGACTTGGGACGCTGAGAACTAAGGAGACCGAATATCCCGAACTGCTCCTTTCCCCCTCCCTGTACGGCACGTCCGACCAGGCAGACTTCTTTGGGTGAGTGGTGTTCTCGGTGATCCTTTCCTCAGGATTATTCCTAACCTGTGGCTGTGTTGTTTGCGTAGTTGTGTTACACAGATACCGTGTAGAACTCCTGTTCCTAAGAGAACTCTGGGAGAGATGGCTTGGCTCAGACCAGCCATCAGAAAGCTGTAGGAAAAGCAACCTCTCAGTTAGAATTAACTGTGAAATGTGAGGAATATTCTTTCTGGTTTTCCACTGGAATCCTCTGGCCCTGTGCCAGCTGTACTGTCCTATAGGGGTTTTCTTAATATAGACACTCTTCCTTCGATGCAAAATGGAGGTCCTCACATCAGTTATCTCTAATGTCACAACTCTGGGATCAAATTCCTTCCGCGCTGTGAAGCGTCTGCCTCGCCCTCCTCGCTGTCAGTACAGGACATGCGTTCCTGCCCAGGCCCCACTAGTCCAGGGCACACAGTCAATTTGAAGGGCATGCACTTTTTCAGGGTCATTAAGATGTCACCACTGAATTATTTCATTGTGCTTCAAAATCCTATTACCAAAATGATTATAACGGTGAATCATGACATAAAACGATAATTCATGTCATTCTGATTTTGTGATGTGAACTGATGTCCTTCTCCAGTGGCTCTCAGCTTTAAGTCAGAATAAAATTTTGCTCTAAAGCAAGCATCCCTGCTCTGAGGTGTTCCTCCTCAGGACTGCTCATACCTTTTCACTTCAGTCCTGCTAGATAGGGGAATGAGCTAGGACTGCATGTCCTAGACCTCTGTTCCTAATGTTCACTGCTTCTGCTGATGGTTCATTGCTGGAGAGCTGGGTCAGAAGTAAGAAGCATCTTCTTGAATGACCAAAACATGGACATCACAAATGAGAGAGCTGATTGAGAGAAGAAGTAGTGTCTGAAAATTGCAGTACACACTTTTTCCCTGGAAACAGAACTTGATTGTCCAAAAGTTCATCAGTATCTTGCTTAGCTGTAGAGGCAGCAAATCACTGGAGTTGCTGTGCAGCTGTAGGCGATAAGCAGCCCTTTCAAACCTGTGTGACTGTCCTCATGTACTGCAGTGGTTTCCAGGGCTAGCACCACAAATAATTGTTTATTTAACACCTTAAATCCCGTTTCGCTCAGACACAGCTTTCATCTGTTGAGTGGTAGCGGAAGTACCTTGAACATTTTCCTGTTTTCTTTTTCCTTTGTTAAATCTTAGCAATTTTAATGAAACCACAGATGCTTTAGTCGCTTCGATGCTTGCTTTCCCTGGAACGGATAACACGTGCATGAATGAAAGCAATTCGTAAGTAGTTCTTGTTTTTCTTCCCTTTAAATTCTGAATCTGCAAGAGAATTGACATCACACTATTAGCTATTAGACTTTAATAACTGTCTTTGAACATCTGCTGAATTTTCATACGTTGGTGCCACATGCGGAGGAAAAAAAGTCTCTTGCTTCACTTCAGATTGACTTGCAGACTCCTTCAGCTCATTAGGAGATGTCTAACAGGCCTTTTGCAGGCAGGCACAAGCTTGTGCTACTCACAGACTTGTGCTGGCAGGTTGCAAGTCACTTCTGAGCAGTGAGCTGTGTAGTCATGATTGGTGTGAAGCACACCCCAGCCCTGCTGAGAGCCTACATGGCTTGGAGCAAGGCCTTGCCTCTGCCAGCAAGGAATTGTAGATAGTAGGTGCCTAGAGCATGTCCAAAGAAGGGCAATGAGCATGGTGAGGGGCCTAGAGCACACGTCTTCTGAGGAACAGCTGAGGGACCTGGGGTTGTTGAGCCTGGAGGAAATGAGGCTCAGTGAGACCTTCTCACTCTTGACAGCTCCCTGAAAGGAGGCTGGAGTGAGGTGGGGGTCAGTCTCTTCTCCCAAGGAATGAGCAATAGGACAAGAGAAAATGGCCCCAAGTTACACCAAGGGAGGTCTAAGTTTGATATTAGGAAAAATGTCTTCCCTAAAAGGGTTGTTGAGGCCTGAACCAAGCTTGCCCGGGGCAGTGGTGGAGTCCCCATCCCTGGAGAGATTTAAAAGGTGTATACATGTGGTGCTGAGGGACATGGCTTAGTGCTGCCCTGGCAGTGCTGGGGTAATGGTTGGACTTGAGCTTAAAGGTCTCTTCTAACCAAAGTGATTCTGTGATTCTACATTCTTGAAGACAAGAAACTGTACCATGCATTAAGGCTGAGACTGGGGCTTCCACATGGTCCCAGGATCTTGACAGCTGTGTTCTTTGCTTGCCTCAAGAAATATTTACCACAACAAGTGGACTCTTCTATAACAGAATAGTAAGGAAGCAGCTTCAGTGGTGGCAGGATGCCAGGTCAAGAACAAGCTGTTCTTGTATCTGGGAAGTAGTCTTTTCTTCCTCAATAATCCAAATTGTCACTGAGCCCACCCAGAAAGTTCTCAGCATGGCTTCTTTTCTATCTGTATCTAAAAGCTGTGACATAAGAGCTGGTCTTTTTGGGCCTCTGCAGATAAATTTTCAAGGAATTGTTCATAGAATTCTGGGCAGATTTGCATGCTCATGTGTGCCACGTACCTGCAGACAGATATTCCTCCTGAGTGTTTACAGTGACTGCCTGGTCAATACGGTCTGTGACAGGGCTCTCCAGTTATTGCACTGACAGTAGTGCTTACTCCTGCCCTGTAAGATGACTTTGGCCTTTACGTGATAACTCCTTACACTGCCTACAGTGGGAATGAATTGGTGTCTGGATTCCTTCTAATCAGCTGAGCGAATCCAGGTGCCAAGAGCAGTAGTGGGGGCCCTCTGCTGAGAGGGACCGAAGGCAGCAGGAGGATGGGTGTTCCCTGAAGCACCTAGAGCTGACAAGAAGTTCTGCTTTTCTGCTGAAGCTGCTCCCTGCCATCCTTGCTGTCATTTGAACATGACAGCAATTAGTGTCGCTTGCACACTTGAGCACAGAGAACCTCAGAGGAAAATGTGTCCATTTTCCATTTTTCAGGCAGTGTTTAAAGGAGGATGTGCTTGGCCCATGGATTATCAGTGGGAATCAGAGTACTGAGTATTCTTCCTGCAACTGCACCCATGGAATCCAGGTGATTTGAAAAAACCTAAAAGTGAGGGGGTTGAGGGGGGATGTCTGGGGGGCCTTGAAGGTTGGGAGTGGTTTTGTGGGCAAGCATGACACCGAGGGGAACTCAGCTTTCAAATTCCTCCTGTCTCTTTTTTGCCTTGTTGATTTTGTACATTGGATAACCACTGTCTGAACCAGTTGGGGAACAGGAGAGGAAATACTGAAGAAAATTCACCTAGCTCCTCATGGTGGGAAAAGGTTTAATGGTGGTTTTAGATGTTTTATGATTGTCCCATTTAGCAGGGGTGAATGTGTATTCAAGAGGAAGACCGCATTTTATACAAGCACAGTCATCATATGAAAGCACAGCTATTATTGCTGTTTGCTTTTCAGAATTTAACTTTATACAAAGTCTAGATCCATCTGCTTTTACCGTGCTCCATATTATAAATAGTGCTGATTAATAATATTAGTTATTTGCATTACAGTGGTACATACAGAACCAGATATGGGCACTGCTGGGCTTAGTGTCTTTACATGCCCATGGGGAAAAGGCAGGTTCTGCCCCAAGGATGTTACCAGTTTACAGTCCAGTTAGAAGCTGACTTCTCCTCCCTCCAGTGCTGTTCACCCATCTTCAGCTTTTTTCCAATAGGAAATCAGGCTCATGGCACAGCATGATGCCATTTGTAAGATAAAGCATGTGCTTAGTCAAATGTTCCTAGTTGTTCCTTAAAATGCAGTTATTTTATGCAGTTTTCTGGACATACACTTAATTTCGCATCATTAAAAGTATTGTCATCATTTCTGTGGTACATCAGGATAACATTCTCACCTCTAGCAGGCACAGGCAGGTGTTCTTCAGCATGAAGGGAGCTATCTTGTGTATTCTGATGCAAAGTTATGAACAGATGCACAATAGGGGAGACCAGGGCTTTTGTTATGGATGAGCTGAAAGCAGCAGCCAGCATGCTGTCTGGTAGGACACTTCAACCTTATGAAACAGTCGATGTGATTTTGACCCTCAGCATGTTCAATTCTATATTCAGGACTAATCCAAGGTTTCTCTGAAGCTCAGGAAAACATTCCCAATGACTGACAGTAAAGACAAAATGTAGAGCGTAGTGGCTGTGAAATGCAAGATGAAAGTTTGAGGCCACCACGGAGTTTTTTGCTCCATGAGTTGTTTTGCCCTCTGCAGTTGTCTGTGCAGTCACTCTGGCATTCTGCTAAGTAGGATCAGCCCTAATTCAGCAAAAATTTTCCTGCGTAGCATGAAGCACATTTCAAGGTCTCACTGATGTCAGTAGAACTGAAGTGTAGATTTAAGCAAAGGTTGGGTTTCTTAAGCGACTTGCTAAATATGTCCAGGACAGCATGCAGAGATGTGTGCCAAGTGTCTTTGTACCCTGATTTGCGAGTCAGCAGCCTTCTGTAGGAATCAGTCCCAGGACCAGAATGTTGTCATTGCAGGTTATCAGTTTTCTTCTGATGTGCTACCTTTTAGTCAAAACACAGGCATTAACATTTTTGTTCATTTGCCTCTGCTCAGATGTGTCCACAGACAAACTACACACCCCCTCACCGAAGAACCTTCTCCACGCGGACAGTTTATAACCTCACAGGGCACAATGTGGAGACCTACATTCTGGCAACCACCAAAGACTTCCTGCAGAAACGGTACAGCATCAGTCTCCAGTCCTTGTCTTCTGAATTGCACTGGAGCAGCCCCTTGCACGTACCGTGTCCGCTGTGCTGCAAGAGGTGATGGTGCTGTGGGGGTTTACAAGGGCCTCTCTGCTGATGGGCTCTGTGAATCTGGTGAAAGGAGGTAAAACGTCCTGCAATCACAGAGTTAAAGATAAAGGTTTGTGCAAGTGCTGTGCTTGATCATAGCAGAGAGAGCCTGGGGATAATGTGTCAATCACCTCACACGGTGATGGCTGGATCTGCAGACAAGCCTTTGTCTGACGCAGAAATGCTTCAGAAGAGGAAAATGTGACACAGCCTGTCATGAAGTAAACCCTGGGGGAGAGACTTTCCTCCAAGTTTGAGTCTCTGAAAAGTGTCAGCGTGTACTTCGTTTAAAACAAGTGCATCCAGTGTTCCAGTGGAATTAGAAGCTGAGTGTTTTCTTGCACCATGGGGCTGTTGCAGTGCTATTAGTGCATCTGGGCTCTGCAGTGCAGCCCCTGTGGCATGTCCTGGGGCAAAAATAGCCTCTCATTGAGCTTGTCAAGGAATATGTTAATCTGCCATTGATTTAAACTGAGCTGCTCATCTTCTGGGTGAGAAGCAGTCGTCTCATTCCAAGGTGGCAGGCAAGCAGGTTAGGAGTCCACATGACTGTTTCCCAAACAGAGGCTTTCAGCACAGTTTTACGATAGTGCTGCCAAATTTCTGTTTCCCTTTTTTTCTCCCCAAACAAGAGCTCCTGCACCAGTGTTGGCTTGGCCACACACTACATAGTAGGATAAGTTCCTTTAAGTTAGGCTAGAATTAGCTGTGGCATGCTAAAACACATCAAGCAAAGGTGTTGAAGGTTTTGAATGTGTTTCCCTCATTTTCACTCAGGTATGGTGGCTGGAGCTTTGGCCTGCCTTTGACAAAAGATCTCCAGTTCGATATCAAGCCCGTGCCCCCCAACAGAACACTGACTAAGGTAACTAACCTGCATCTGCTCATCCTAGCATGGGAGGTGTGGGACTTGGGAGGAGTGATGTCTATTCAGGGCTATTTCAGAAAATAAAGTGAAACTCTCTGAAATCTGGAGCTTGGCGTGGGAGAGGTGACTTGAAGTTCATTTCCTATTTTCTTGCCGTTCTTCTTTGTTGGTCTGACTTCTCTAGCTAGTAGGAGACAATTTTTCTGCTGTCATAATTTTGTTATATAGAGGTGAAAAGATCAATTAGTAGCTCCTTCATCTCATGAGAGAATGTGTGTACCTTAAGCAAGGCTGGTTGGTGCATCTGAAATACCCGTTTCTCTGTTTCTGCTCAGTGAAAATGTTGTAACGCATCAGCGTTAAAAGCACCAAGGCTGAAATCTGTGGTAGCAGAGAAATGCAAGAGAGTTGACAAGATCCTGTGATCTCTTTGCAAAACCTAGCTACCAGGAGAGTGTTTCTGTGAGGCCAGTGCTGTTTTCAGAGGTGGCTACAATGAAAAGGAATCATGGGGTTTGTTTCACCAGCACTCAGAGCTCATGTAATGAATTTGCAGGTGTTTTCACCCCTCCAATCTTACAGCTTCATCCTAGATCTGAAAGCTATAGCTATTTGCTTATCACATATCAGACTGAATACCTGGAAACCTTGATAACGTTGGAAGCAGGGCAGACTCCAGTCCTTGCTCTGCTAGGGCAGGGAGAATGAAATCACTGAGCACGCAGGACTTGTGGGTGTGCAAAGGTGGGTGCTGTGGGCTCTGCTTAAGCCTCTCACCTTGACAGCCTAAGCTCACTGTCCTTTGGTAGGTAACTTACACCTCCACCCTGGGTGCTGTGGGTTCTGCCTAAAGTAGGTGATGGTAAATCCCCTCAAAGCGAATGTCCTGTGATCTGATTTTGCCCCTCAGTCCTCAGGGTTTAGACCTAGTGGTGGAGGTAAGAAAAGTTGTCATGGGGAAGGACAGGCTGTTGGTGAATTACTATTTTTTTTTCCCTAAAGCAATCTGTTCCCCCTGGCTTTCCAGAGCTGTTAGACATTTGACTGCTTCACTTTCTTTGGGAAGCCCCCACTGCTGGTGTTCATCAGATCTGAGCAACTTATTACAGAGAAATAACGAAGTTTCTGTATGCTTTATGTCACATATCCAGCTAATGCAGCTTTCTTCTCTCCCAGAAGGCAAATGAAGCTGATGGGACTGCTTGTGCTGAAAGTGAAATGTGCTTTTATACTCATTCAGTACTTGATGTGGTTTAATCATTGGACTTTAACTTGCAGAGCTTATGACTTCAGATAACAACCGTAGAATGATTGATTTGAGCAAGCAGAACAAACCAAAATGTTATCAGCAAAAATTTCTCTCCCAAATTGTTTCAATTTCTTCACTGTGTGCAGGTGTGGTACAATCCCGAAGGTTATCACAGCCTTCCAGCCTATCTCAACAGCTTGAACAACTTCATTCTTCGAGCTAACTTGCCACAAAATGAGACTTCCAGATATGGTAAGTGTCCTTTTACGTGAGTAGATAATTTCTCCCCTTTGGGGGCAATATCCTAGTTCTGTTGAAATCGATGACAACACTTAGCCTGACTTCAGCAAGGCCATTTCTTTACTCCCAAGTATGCAATTCCTTTAAAAAAATAAATTGAAAAACATGAATAAATTATGTATTTTGTTTGTCTTAGGCAAAGACTCATGGGAGCTGGTCAGGGAGAGCCCCAGCTCCTACGTAAAACATTTCCTTCATCCAAAGAATGCCAATGGTTGCTATTTGATTTATTGCCTCCCATCGTGGTATTGAAATAGCTGTCTCCTGATAGGTGCCCATTAGTTATGCATAGAAAGGCTGCTTTAGGTCATTTCTGGCGGTGGTTTAGATTAGTACATTTTAATATGTCACCCTTCTGCTGAGAGAGCTTAGGCTGAGTGGTATGTGTATGCTTGTATTCGAATGAGAGAGAGTGAGATTAAGTGAGAAACATAATTTTCAGCTATACTTTTCCTCTGACATATGACACACACAGATTCCAAGGTGTGTTTATTAGTAGCCCACTTGGGGTTATCGGTTGTCACAGCTTCTCCTTGGTAATGTAACGCAGCAAGCCCAACTCCTGCTGATAAAGCAGGGCACCCTATCTCACCGTTTACATTTTAGCCTCCATTACAGGTGCAGCATGGGCACAAACGTGTCTGTGTATGTCTGTCTGTCTCTTGAGATGGAGGGGAGTGCAGGGGGAAGAGAAAGATTTATGGGATCTGAGAAGAGTAGCAGTTGTGTGCAGAACTGCCCCACCGATGGATTTTCTTTGACGAATAGTGCCCTTCCAGCCATGCCCTGGTCATGCCTAGCCCCATCACCTCAGAGGCCCGCTCCTCCAGGCGACGGTGTCTCTTTGCTCACAAGAGTATTCCTCACTGATGTGTCTAAATTGAACAATAATTGAAAAAGCATCTGTTCTGAAGCTTTGAGTGCCATGCCATGAATTAAAGAAACAGCAGAATGCTGACTACAAGTCAAAAAAGCCCCTCTCCCTCTTCCCACCTCCTCCTACCAATGCACTGACACTCACCTCGCCACAAGTGAAACCAGTTCCTCATCCCCACTGCCGTCCTAAAATACCCACTGGCTCGTGCCTTTGAGATTTGCAGGACGCCCTCCAGCCTGGAAGGTTCGAGCTCCTCAGTGTGTGCTGCAAGAGCATATCACAAAGCTGCAGCCCCTGCCCGGGTGCAGAGAGAGGAGACCTGAGCCAGGCACTTCCAGTGGCAGGAGCATCCCAGAGCAGCTGAATTATTAAGCAGTGAAGCTTCTTGCCCTGTGTCTGTATTCCCAACACGTGCTGTAGCAAGAGCAAAGGCAGGAAGCTCCTGTGAGCAGTCAGAAAGTTTTCCCAGTGAAAGTTTTAGACCAGCAAAATAACAATTTTCAATGGGAAAGAATAGCAGCAGTTTTTATTCCATCTGGCCTGCTGCTTATGTGTTTTTGGAAAGAAATGCTTAGTAGCAAATGACCAGACAGATAATTCTCCGCTTCCCGCTAATGATCCAAGCCGCAGAACGGGGGAAATAAACTGAATGGGCAAGGATAGCTCCCCTGGGGTAGTGTAAATCCAGTCTGAAATAGAATTGAACAGACGTTCAGAGTGGTATGTTCCTGGCAGCTAAATCTATTTGTTGTTGTGACAAATAAATGACAGTTTAAGAACCATTGAAATAGCCAGATAAAAGTGTGTTGTCATTTCAGCAGTCTGAAAGAGGTGCCAGACCCCCTTTAGAGGTTTGACTTAGACTATGTATATTTTTTTAAAAAAAAGACATAAAAAGCTTTTTACCCTGTCACTAAGCAAGTCATAATAGCTTTTGACTTATGTATATTGTGCTTTCTTTTCTCTCAATCCCAAACCAACAAAAAAGAGAAAGCATTGAAATGGAAATTTTGACTTCTAGCCTAAGCTTCAGTAAAGGAAAATGGTTTTATAGTGAAGTATTAACAGATTAGACAGATGATATCTTTCTTTCTCTCTCTCTTATAGGGAAGGGAAACATCTCCTGGCTGTTTGTGTGGCTTTATCAGCAGCCCAAGATTTTAATTCCATTTCTTTCACTGGTGACAAGACTGAGGGTGCTTTTTCCCCCTGTGAAATGAATTTCTTATGAAATCTTCCGTTTCAAATTTATTTGCTCAGCGTAGCATTTGGTCAGCTAAACCCAGAAGCTCCTCCTTCCTGGTGCCTGTGTTGGAGTGCTTGTTCTTAGGGAAAATAGCCCAGAGTAGTTCTTCCTCGTATAACTGCTGAAAGTCAGGCACCTGGCTGTAAGGAGCTTACATTTTAGAGGTGACATGTTCTATCCAATCTCTCAGGATTTAATAGCAGCTAGAGGTCCTCCAGCACTCCCTGAGAGCGAGGTGTTTACTTAGGTGCCTAAATATGGATTGGAAACCTTGGTTTTAGGCACATAAACATCTTAGCCTAAACCCTTTCTTGGGTGCTAGAGTCTCAGAGACTGGGCTGTCAGCTTGGTGGGACCCAGGGCATAGACCTTCACTGGAGGCTGGAACTGGCCCACCAGAGCCCCCTCAGTTCCTCCATTTGTTAGCAAGCTGGTTTTCTAGGCACAAACTGCCTCCAAAGAGAGCAAGTACACTGTGATGAACAATACTAGTGTATTTTGAGCTAGATGCTCTCCTTGGTAAAGAAGTACTTAAATCATATGAAGATATCTGCACATGAGCAGAAAATTTCTCTCTTGCAGCTCCTGTCCGATACAAACCCATTTTTAAGGGATCTTTTTTGAAAACATCACACTGGGCTTACAAACACTGTAACTAGATTTTTACTAGTTCCGTTCATTCTTTTGGGTTTTAGTTTGTTTGTGGGGTTGGGTTTGTTTTGTTTTTTTCTTCTAGCTGCGTAACACAGAATAGTTCAGAACTAACTTATTGTCAAACTGGGAACAGAAGTGTCTGTAGCTTACCTGGGTTTACACTCAACACAAACCCATAAATCATGAGGTGCCCACATTGAGGAGGACACAGATCATAGGAAGATAATAGTCATGGAGAAAACCAATAAGGAATGACTTGTTTCTGATGACATATGAACAAATTAAATTAAGTGAGATCATCAAACAACAGTTTTAAAATGAAACTTACTCATCAGTTTTGAATGTGTCAGTGTTGAGGAATCCAGCCTAAAATACACGGACCCAGAGGCACAGGCTTTATTTTAGGTGTGGGAGTGCTCTCATTGAAGTGAGTGATACCACCAGCCAGACAGATGCAGAAACAAGGCCTAGGGTTTGAATTTCAGATCTGCTTTGCATCAAACTGAAGTCATGGGAAAAATGAGGGTGCTCAAAATTCTGCCCAAGATCACACCAAGCTGACAGAGCAAAAAACCAGCTTTTGATCTGCTTTTCTTCTCAACTCACAGCTTTCTGTATTACTGTCAGTCTCAGGAACTGGTGAAGGAAGTTAGCCACATTGCTCAATTTCTTTTCTTTCTGTTTTTGTAGGTATTTTCTTATCAGCTCACCCATATCCTGGAGGACAGAGTCAAGAACAAGTAATGTAAGAAGATTCATTTAGCTGATGCCTGAATTGTTTAGCTTCAAAAGGAGCAAACTAGCTTCTCGGAAACCATAAAACCACCTAAATTACTGAATATCTGCCTCTAACTGACAGTACTGCCCTCTCCCTTGTCTTCATTCCCTATATGCATCAACCACAGAGCTGCAAATTCCTCTTGGGGTTTCTTTGCAGGATCCCATATAGCTCTGGAGGTCACAGCTGTAGCATCACACATTTTTGTTCTTCAGCACAACAGTAATAACATCATTTTCCCTTTGGCCTTTCCAATCCATGCTATGGTGTTATGACTCAGTGCTGTGAGTCCTTTTCGCCAGACAGAATTACCATCTGCAAAAGATGCTGGCACAAAATCAGGACCTCTGCCTCTGAGCTCTAAACAGTGCCTCTGCAATGAGGGGAATCTGCCACTTCGACTCACCATATACAACTTGTTTTATTACTTACTGGAGAACTTATTGCTGCCTCTTGGTGCTTAATGGGGACCTGTAAGAAAGGCAGGAACAATCTTTTTAGAAGAGTCTGTTGTGACAGGGCAAGGGGTGATGGTTTTAAACTAAAAGAGGGTGATTTAGACTAGGTAGAAAGAAGAAATTTTTTACACTGGGGGTGATGAGACCAGGTCCCAGGATGCCCAGAGAGGTGGTTGATGCCCCATCCCTGGAACCATTCCAGGTGAGGTTGGCTGGGGCTCTGAGCAACCTGCTCTAGTTGAAGATGTCCCTGCTTACTGCAGAGGGTTTGGACTAGGTGAGCTTCTGAGGTCCCTTCCAACCAAAGCATTCTATGATCTCTTGCTATTTTCTCCCCAGGCTCAACAGCTTACTTGACATCATAGTTTCAATGTCTGTTTTGGTTGGCTACTCTATCACAACGGCAAGCTTTGTGCTCTACGTGGTAAAAGAACATCAAACCAAAGCCAAACAACTGCAGCATATTTCAGGCATCGGGATGACAAGCTATTGGGTGACTAACTTCGTTTATGATCTGGTAAATAATTCACATTCCTAAATGCACCAAGAGTAGCATTGCACAGCAGGGAAAGACAAAGTTCTTTATTTAAAGTTGGTTGCCTAGACTTCTAAAAATTATTACTACCAAGAGTGTTATGCAGTAATTGTTCTCCAAGGCATCGAAGACTATTAAACGTGAACCGCAAGGCTGGATTTTGCTAAGCAAAGGCATTCCTTCTCTCTCGAGTATATGCAAAACACTCAGCACATTTGTATGAGAGCAACTCTGAGCAGGCCAGAGCTTGATTTCAATTTTAACAAGCAAGCAGCAAGCTGCTTTTCTGTTAGCTTGCAGGGCTCAATTAGTTGTCGTGCAGGCTTTATGCATCTGGGGTAAGGCTTTGGGGCTCGAGGCTACAGCCATTTGGGAATCCCTGGGAGTGCAGAGTGTGACATTAGCAGACATCTCACGGCTGGCACTCCCCTCTTGGGCAAAAAAACATTGCTGGGTTGAATGCTGTCTTTAAGATTATCTATATCATAAAGGTTTCTAAGCTGAGGAAAGCTACTAATGCAGCTATATGCCTTCCAGGACCTGAGGAAGTTCCTTTCTACAGTGCTGCACTGCGCTGTCTAGATTTATCATCTTGTTCCTGTGGATAGCTCAGCTCCCCAGCACTGTGCTGCATGACGTGGCATTAGGCGTACCCTTGTTCTCCCCCAAGTTAAGTTTCCTCATGGAAAAGAGGGTTAATAGGACTGCTGGAAAGCATTGCTGAGCTAAGAGGATAAATACGCACAGCGCCTGTGGACTAGAGTGCTTTGTGTCTTACAGATTCCCTCCAGTGCACAATGTCAAACCCTCACCTAGTTAGGGATCTGCAGGCACAGGCTATCTCTGCTTGGGAGCTTTGGCATCACCAGCTATGCTGTAATGGTGATCAGCTCCCCATAGCCAACAAATTCCTATCGATGCAGGTCTGCTAGTGCCTAAAATCCCAGTAATATCATCAGTTCCTGAAAATACGAAACCTTCAAGAGCGTTTGGGTGGCCCTTCGATGCAGTGAAATCCCTTGGGGAATGTGACCTTTGACTCTTGCTGCAGAGCACAGCCTAAGCTTCGAGGTGTGTCGGAGACACCGATGCACGCTAATGAAGTGGCCCCAACAATACAGTTTTCACCACCAAGTAGTCTGAACTGCCTGCCTATAGGGGCTGGAGTGATCTGGCAAGAGCACAAGTATTTCCTGCCTTGCAGGAGGGGTTTGAAAGGGGTCTGAAGGCAGCATGGCTGCAGGCTAGCTTGCCAGAGCCACCCTGAGTTGCAGCTCAGGGTTGAGGACGGGACAGGCCCGAGTCTGCTTCCCTGATCCAGGGCCTTGCTCCAGCACTGCATGTTTGTAAATCAGCCTGTGGAAAAATCCCCAGAGTCCTTGCCACAATCAGTATTCAGCGGGCTGAAACTAATCCAGCGCTCTCGGCAACTTGATATTTCTCAGTGAATCCCTGCCAGTAAATTCTGTTAGATCCCAAAGCTGGGGAAGAGAGGAACCTCTCAAGGCAGAAGTTTGGTAGCTCCCTGCCTTGACTCAACATTATAAAGTCTAGATTTACAAGGCACAATGAAGTGGTCTGACTGCAAGGCTAACAGAAAACCCAGAGGGGTATTTTCCATTCACAACCTTTTTTTAAGGCACTTTCTGCCCAGTCCTGAATGTTGAGGCTTAGCCTGTTCCAAACGGCTTTGTGGGAATTCATCTGCCAGACTCCCAAAAGTCTCAGGGGGACTGAGATACCACTTGTATTTGGTTCCTTTTAAAAAACCCACACTCCACTTGTGGGACCAGATTCAGACCTGGCCTTGTTCTAGAAAAATGTTTCAGAATTATCCTCCTAATAACATCTTTCTAATATCGCAGGTACTTTTTATGGTTCCTATTGGACTCTCAATAGCAGTTATTTCATCCTTCCAGATACCAGCTTTCTGCAACAACAGTAACTTACTGGCAGTATTTCTTCTGCTGTTACTGTTTGGGTAAGTGTGCTGCTTTGTTATTTAAATGTCATTGAACAGAGTAAGGAGCTGGGTGTTGCAGGGTGCTGCAGTTTGAGATCTGAGGGAGGGAAACATGGGCTTTTTTTCTTCAACATGAACTTTACAGGTGGTAACTAGTTGCTCCTTCTAGGAGCAGTGAGCTAAACTACTGTTGTCATGCCTGCTTTATTCAAAGCAAACTCTATGTGAGGGTATGAAATATTCAAGGTCACACTGACAGCCCAAACTGTAAGCAGACACTTACTGAACTATTGCAAAGTTCAAGATATAGAAGCATTTCAAAATCAGAGAGGAAAAAATAAATAAGTAAAAAAAAAAAAACAACAAAGAACAACCAAACAGCAGCACAATTCAGAAAAACTTAGCAAAGCTGTCTGGCTGGCTTTGAATCCTCCAGTCTGCCCACTTTCAGTCAGGGCTCCATGTTCAAAGTATGCATCATAAATTTTTTCTCCCAATTCCAACATCTACTAAGGCATTTTCCCTTCTTCAGGCTCCTGCAATATGGAAATCCAGTCCCACATAGAACAGAACTGTTGTCTGAGGTCTTTAGTTGTTGGTTTTCAGTTGCTCTTTGAGTTACTGCAGTATCCTCTGCACTGTTGGCAATTTGTAGGTATGCAACGTTTTCATGGATGTACCTGCTGGCTGGACTTTTCAAAGAAACAGGAATGGCCTTCATCGTTTATGTCTGCGTCAACTTGTTCTTTGGCATCAATACCATCATTACTCACTCGGTGGTATTTCTACTCTCCCAGGAAAAGGCCACAGACCAGGTAGGAACCCTAAATGCTAAACCCTTGGTGAAACAACAAGAGGCTTCATATGAGTGTGGGGGCTTTGATCAGGTCCTTACCGGCTGGCTGGTTTCAAGGTATTTGAGACAGACTAAGCAGAGACTTAGTGGGGTCCCCTATAGACAGGACATGAGTCAAATTTGAATCTTGCTTGTCTGCAAATCTGCACTCCCAGCAAAGAAGGAAATGATAGTAGAGGGGGGAATACAATAAGAGAGGTAGAAAACTGCCTGTGCAGAGAAGGGCAGGAGCTGGGTTGTAGGTGTTGGATAAAAAAGTTGGTAGGGTCTGTGAGCCATTGCTAAGTTCTTGCAGTATGAACTGTGGAGAGTGACAACTAGATGTCATTGCCCTGAGTCTGACATGTGCTGCATTAAGCCTGGTGCTGGCTGGCTGTCATCAAGGTCTGTAACACAATCATCTTCTCCCTGCAAGGACAAAAATTGACTCAGAGACAGGGATGATTCCCTAAAGTAAAGTCTTCTCTTCAACTGAGACATCCTTGGGAATCCCTGGGATAAAATGTACAGTTTACATTTAGCTTTCTTCTTTTATACAGGGCAATTGCTTTGTAAAACAAGAGCTAGTTTGGATTTTTCTCTTGCTGGGCAGTGCTTGTTTAGCAACCCCCTGGATTTTAGGGATGGGCAATTATGATCATCTTTTTAGCTCTTGGGACACCCCATCTGCAGTGCTGTGTTCAGCTCTGGGCACCCAGTGTGAGAAAGACATGGACCTGTTTGAGCAGGTCCACAGGAGGCCATGAAGATGATCTGAGGGCTGGAACACCTCTCTTACAAAGGCAGGCTGAGAGAGTTGGGGTTATTCAGGCTGGAGAAGAAAAGGCTTTGTGGAGACCGTATTGTGGCCTTTCAGTATCTGAAGGGGGCCTATAAGAAAGCTGAGGAGAGACTTTTAGCCAGGGCATGTAGTGATAAGACAATCGGTGATGGCTTTAAACTGAAAGAGGGGAGATTTAGATTAGAAATTGGACAGAAAATCTTCACTGTGAGGGTGGTTAGACACTGGAACAGGTTGCCCAGAGAGGTTGTGGATGCTTCATCCTTGGAAGTGTTCAAGGTCAGATTGGATGTGGCTTTGAGCAACCTGCTGTAGTTCAAGATGTCCTGTCTTACTGCAGGAGAGTTTGACTAGATGATCTTTAAAGTCCCTTCCAACCCAAACCATTCTATGATTTCATCCCTCTGTGCCCCCACGCCAGGGAGTCAGTTTCTTTCCATGATAATTTACTGCCTCTATCCTTCTCTGTGCACACTAATCCTTTCTGGTGCTAGACAGCTGCGTAGCTTCAGGAGGCACAGTGCAGCTGGGTGGCAGAATTCAGCTCTGGCTCAGGGGCAGGCAGGTTTGGGGCTGCCACGCCCCCAGGGAGAGGAGGCTGGAGCAGCAGCGAGGGGCTGCGCTGGGAACTGGCTGCTGGGTACTGGGGGGGATCAGCTCCCAGCTGCCTTGACACTTGTCTGACCTTGTGCCGGTGAAATGAGCTGTCTCCAGAGCTCTTTGCTCTCAGTTTATCTCTGCTCTGAGACACAGGCAAATCCCAATGTAATTGTTATACTTCAGTCCCACAGTAAAACCTACAAATTTATTCCATGAATAGAAACAGTGACTGACTGATGCTTTTTGTTGTTTCTTTTTCAGGGCTTGCGTGATCTTGCTGAAAACTTGAGGCATGCATTCCTTCTGTTCCCACAATTTTGCTTTGGCTATGGCTTGATTGAACTGTCACAGGATCAGGCACTGATGGGCTTCTTAAAGGCCTATGGAGTGGACTATCCTGATAAAACCTTTGAGCTGGACAAGACCACATCTAAGCTGCTTGCCATGTTTATCCAGGGCACTGTGTTTTTTGCCATTCGTCTTACAGTTCACGACAGGATGGTTCAGAGAGTCTGGAACAACATACTAGAGTAAGTAACATCTGGAGTCTCACAATGAAAACAGACCAAGCCAGCACTCAGAGGTTTGATTCTGGGCTCTCGCACCATCATTGTCAGTTATGAAGCCCATAAATTTCCAAGACACTTTGCAAATGTAGAGTAAGTTTTCTCTGGCAGCAGTCCTGGTACCTACCAGTAATTAGAGTATTAACTAATAGAGGTACAGGTTACCTGAGTCCCTTGGTAGTCCTTGCTGGCTGAGACTCTGGGTTTTCAGGACTCTGGGTTTGGTGGGCTGGTGTTCAGACGGTTGCTAAGAGCAGTCAGTCCATTGACAGCCTCCTCTGTTTGAACCTCCCCATCTCCTCTGGCTTGTGTGTGCCGAGGGAGGAGTGAAAATAGTCCTGTCACCTGTATTACGAATGTGTCCACAAGGCAGGACCTGCTCCATCTCAGACTATTTGCTGAAAAAGAGAAAAAAATATAGGTAGAAAGAGAATGTAATTTTTTTTTTTTTTTTAATTCCCTAAATGGAGCAGGACATAATAGAAACTGTCTGTATATCTGAGTGCCTTTTGCATGCCCTGGGATCTCACAGGAATGCTCCATAGCACATAGATCCCCACTGCTGTGCACTTACCAGAGGGTAAGGTCCGCTCTCTGCCCTCCCCATAGGTTCCTGTTTGACAGAGTGCATGGCAAAGCAGCACTTCTGCCACCTGCAGCTGAAGAGGATGGAGATGTCCAGGCAGAGAGGAACCGGGTGGAATCTGGCAAAGCTGACTTTGATGTTGTGCAGCTCCAGAACCTCACAAAGATCTACCACCTTCCTCACAAACGCATTGTGGCTGTGAAAAACATCAGCCTTGGGATGCCTGCTGGAGAGGTGAGCAAGGTGAAGAGGCTGTGTTGGGTACCTTCTGCCCCTGGGAGAGAAACTGGAACAGATCCACAGTCCCACTGTCATCTTCTCTCCCAGTCCTTACCACTGTCCCAGCCCAACTGTCATGGTTTGTTCTGCTCTGATGTCTTCCTTCCTTCACCTTATTGATTCTTGGGGTTATGGCAGCGACTAAAGGCTTCCAGTGGTGGATTTGGGACGTCAAGTGACAGTGTGAAGGTCCTAGAATAAAAGAAATGGATGGGACAGTGACGGAGCTGTATTCAGAGCAAAATGCCTACACGCTGTGTTAGTACAGTGCCTAGCACAGCACAGTCTTGGGGGGTCACTCTGGGTTACCCTATGGTAAATGAAGACAGCACAATTTGTCCAGTTGCAATTATTCACCTAAACTGCATTGGGGGCAGTGAGTCTGGCTTACCTGGTTGTATTTTCCCATCAGGGAAAGACAGATCACTTCAGCTGAACACACATTTTGATGAATCGGGACTTTAAACTAACAAAAAAAAAAGTATCCTTTGGTCATGTCAGTGCAGTTACCTGCAAAAACACCCACTCATGAGAAGAGAAGAGACAGGAGCACAGAGAGCACATCTAGACCTAGAGGAAAGTAGAGGTATCCTTTGGTCATGTCAGTGCAGTTACCTGCAAAAACACCCACTCATGAGAAGAGAAGAGACAGGAGCACAGAGAGCACATCTAGACCTAGAGGAAAGTAGAGACCAGGTTCTACCTCATGCTGTGCATCTGGCTTGTGGGGGAGCTTGGAATGAATTCTTGGTGCCTGATTTTCTCTTAATTGCCTGGATCCTACTGAGATGAAAGGACATAGGGTGCTGGGCAGGAGGACAGAAGCCTCACATGGGAGACCATGGCACTGATCTTTCTGGCAGAGGATTTTTTTTTGCAAGCCACAACCAGCACTGAGGTTTCTAACTTCTGGCAGAAGTCACCCTGATGCTGGTGGGGTTAAAGGGAATGGCACCCTCAACCCCATCTGTCAGCAGAGTTGGTGGCCCCACACCACAGACTGTGCCCAGATGCTGTCCCTGCATGGACCTTGAGAAGAGGAGGGAAGAGCCTTGGGCCGATACTGTGCATCTGCAGCAGGCCCAGCACATGATGTTTTCCAAATAGCTGTTCTGTGCTAATGATATTAAAATAATAGCAATTATCAGCACAGTGGTGATTGCTTATGCAACACACAACTGCATATCTCCAACCTTGGCAATAAAACGTAAGATTTTTTTTAGCATGAAGCACTGAACTGCACTACAGGGAACCAGTTCTTAATCTTATTAATATAGTGCAATGGTGAGGTTATTTGACAAAAATCTTGTGACGTGTTAAGGTTTCACCAATGAGAGCACCAACCTTGCTCACCTCATTCCTGGGTAGCTCTGCTCCCGTCGATGGGAGGCTTTGCACGAATGAGATGATCCGGATTTGGCCTGTCAGATGAGCTCGCTGCAGAAATGCACCTTGTAGTAAAAGGAATGACTCTATTAGAGACACATCCTTGATTCTTCACCATATTAAACAAATGGTCCTAATATAAGCTGCGGTATATTGCACCATAAACAACCTCCATTATAGCGTGGGTACGCTCTGCCTTCCTCTGCCTCTTCTGCAATTCATCTTGCTCAAGGGCTCGGAGAACAGAAGAGATGAGATGCACTGAGCGCCCGCCTCGGTGCAGTATTTCTGCATTATAAATCCATGGTTACATTTCTACTTCTCTTTCCCACAACCCAGTGCTTTGGCTTGCTTGGTGTGAACGGAGCTGGAAAAACGACCATCTTTAAGATGCTGACAGGTGATATCGGAGCATCCAGCGGAAGGTTGCGGGTCCAGGATCGCTCTGGGTATGGAGGATGTGATTTCTGGGGAAGACAGGCGAGTGAGGCAGCCTGGGAGCAGCTTTTTGGAAGGCAAAGGAAAAGGAATGTAAAAGTCTGAAACAAAACAAAACCCTCAGAGCGAAAACAAATAAGGCAGAGAATTTAATCCTGTGAGGATGGTATGGTTGCTTCCCTATAGGAGTCTGCGTTTTGCTGTTGCACCTCTGTTCTTGGTGGTGTTTCTTCCACTTCATTCCATTGCCAATGGGATCAGATTCAGACCCTCATCTGAGTGTGATCCCACTTCTGAGTTAATACCTGCAGACCAGTAGGTCTCATCTTAAAGTGCTCTTTAGCAGGAGTAGGCTTAGTGGCACCTGTGCCATCTAAAGTGCTGGTGGTAACTGGAGAGCGACGTACCACACATCGAGGCCAACAGACATTGCAAATATAGTTCTTCCTTTGCAGAACCGAGGGCCCAAAATCTGAAGATCTGCAAATTCATAGTGTTTTGGGGAAGGGGGTGGGAAGCAGGAGAAAGTTCTTTTTCTCTCTTCTGTCTGATTCTAGACCCAGTGTGTTTAAAATTACTTGCCAACTTCTTCATGCAGGTCCTTGAATGACATTAGTGAGGCACACTGGTCACTCTTTGGCTACTGTCCTCAAGAAGATGCCTTGGATGACTTGCTGACAGTGGAAGAGCACATGTATTACTATGCTAGGCTCCATGGCATCCCAGAGAGAGAGATCAAAGGAGTGAGTAGCACTGGGGCTTGACATAAAGCATTTTCCAGTTATTGAGAGACTGTACATTGGTTTAATTAGTCTTTCAATAAATAGATAAGTGCACGATGATTTATGCCTGGGTGTTGTGAAAGCAGTACTCATGCTCCCATAGGTTGTGCTCCAGCTCCTCCACCGTCTGAATCTGATGGCCTACAAGGACAGAGTCACCTCTATGTGCAGTTATGGCACCAACAGAAAATTGTCGACTGCTCTGGCTCTCATTGGGAATCCATCAATTCTGCTGCTGGTGAGAAATGGGGGCCCTGCTGGGGGAAAGATGAGCAGATCTTTGGGCTGGCAGGGGCACTTTGTCAGCCTCACAAAACTCACAGGACACTTAATGCCCACACTTAGACTGACAAAACATATGCATCAGAGAAAAGTTTAGATTCCAGCAAGTACCCAAGTTTTCTTTGAGTCTATAAGAGAGTGGCGAGCGCCAGTTTCTCCATTAATATCTTTCAGACGTCAAAAATAGATCCTGTATTTGCCAATAAAACTCTCTTTGTTCCCAAGTCTTTCTTGGGTTTTTTGGTATCAACTAACCTGCACAGTCCCGCAGGAAAAGCAGCATCCAAGGCTCCAAATCTGTAGGAGAGCAAAGGAGCAACTTCCCTTAGTATTAGAACATAAACCCATTTTTCTAGGTTTGGCTTCCCCTTTTGTCTTTCACTTGGAATTTTCCAGTTCTTCCCTGAGATATGCTATTGCTAAAATACAGCTTTTTTGTGCAGGTTTTCCACCTGCCATGTTCTGAAAATGTGCAGTGACAAGGTTTCCAATATTAAATTTGATACCTAGTGGACATAAATCTCCCTTGCCACAACTTGTATCGAGCCCGGTACTGCTGCCTTTACTTCTCAACACACAGGCCAGCACTCTAGCTGCTTTTGTGAGATAAAAACATCTCCATAAAAATAGACAGTGGGGAAGTTTCCTCCATACTGACTGCTGCCTGAATCCAAGCTGGATCTGTACCAGTGAGAGTTCTCCTGTGGGTCCTCACTAGCAAATATAACACTAATGATGAAGAGCCTAAAAAGATTACAAGTGTTGGGAAGATCAGCTTTTGAGTGCCAATTTACATTCAGTTCTGTCTTTCCCAATAGGATGAGCCAAGCTCTGGAATGGATCCGAATGCTAAACGCCACCTTTGGAAAATCATCAGTGAGGAAGTGCAGAACAAGTGCTCAGTGATACTCACGTCTCACAGGTAGGGCTGCTTTGGCTCTGCCTCCAGTTTCAGGGCTAGCAGAAGGTGTGGAAAGACCCCTCCTTCACACTCCCTGATGGTCCCCACAAGATTTCAGGGCACCGAACTATAACAGAATTTGGGGGTTGGTATGGCTGAATGTGGGTGCCCACAATGCTTCAGAGACTATCAGGAATGGTTTTTTTTCATACCTCTTCAGTGACTTATTAGAGTTTCTTGGCTGTTTTTTCAGCATGGAGGAATGTGAAGCCCTCTGTACCAGGCTGGCTATTATGGTGAATGGGAGTTTTCAGTGCATTGGCTCTTTGCAGCACATCAAGAGCAGGTCAGTAAAATCTACCTATTTCACTTTTACTGAAGGCCACGGAGACTGAGTAGCCTACAGCTTTGAGGGCTCAGAACATGAGGCCATTGTTAACAGGGCATCAAATTAACATCATTTTCTGGTTTGTTTCTTACTACACCAGTGAAATTCTGTGTTAACTAATGCACTTTGTACTCTCTCACATCCTGTTTTCCCAGAGGTGTGTTCCCGAAAGTAATCCGTTCGCCGCTGAAAATGTGAAATGCATGTTAGGGCTGAGCTTCCATTTTATTAGTTATCACAATAGCTCGCCTTCTTATTAAGTTTCACTCCAAGTTAACAACCCTGACCCCATCCAAGCTGCACTCTGCCTGGATTAGATTTCCCCAAAGAGGGTATGCAGCACTCTCAAAGGATTTTCTTCAGCTGTTTCTCTTTTCTAATTGTGATTTTCTTTTCCCCCTAGGTTTGGAAGAGGATTCACTGTGAAGATGCACTTAAATAGCAACACTGTTTGCACTGAGACGCTGACAGAGTTCATGAAGTCACACTTTCCCAATACATGCCTGAAGGTAAGCAGGACAAACGCTTTAAGGAGAGGGCCTCTCAATTCCTTCAGATTAACCAAGAGGATCTTGCAAGGTAGACATCTTGTAACATACTGCGGACATAGGTCCATGCCCTCAGAGTGTGGGGGATTCTTACAGGCATGCTCATCACTCCTTTCGGCAGCATCGTCCAAGGGCTGCAGCACCCACGTTCCTTGGTGCCATAAATAACTTCAGCCAAGTAGCTGCAGTGATCCTGTGAGGCAGCTGTTAGGTGACCCTCTGCCCCTGGGAACGGTCCCGCTGAAGCCTGGACTTTGGGTGATAAGGTGTGTAATGGTTTGAAAGCAAACCAGTGAGAGACTCCAAGTCAGAAAATTAATTTAATTCAATTTAATAGGAAAAATGAAATAAATGTAATAATACAAAGAAAAAACACAGACAGAGTCAGAATACAACCTGACACGCTGTAGTTAGGGTGGTGGTAGCAGTCCAGATGAGGCAGGGATCTTGTAGAAAAGATCTGGTAGCTCTTGTCCTCTGGAAATCCAGTGGGTAAGGCCCCCTGTGCTGTCCTGAACCCCAGTTTATATCCAGGTGGGAGCACTTGGCTCCTCCCCCTGGGCAGAGCATCTCACAATGGGTTGATGTCATTCTATGAGTCATGCAGTGGGTCCTTGATTGCCCATTAAACAGAAATAGCTCCTGGGGGGAGTTCTGTATGAGTCATGGGGTGAGGCATGGATGGGCCCATTAACAGGGAGGACTCCTCCTGCTGGGTGGGAAGGTGTTAACATCTCCCCTGACCTTGAACTTCTTTCCTTATCTGTTATAGCCTGGGGTGTGAGGTCTGTCCTGGGCAGCTGCTACCAATGACTTTGTTAACAGCCCATGAACAATGACATAGAGCGTATAGAATACACAGATTTTGGTTCTACCCACATAATGATAAACTGGTTCCAGCCCCTGTAATCATGAAAAGGTGGTCGGGTGCTTGTAGTAACTGAATATCGGTAAAACCAGAGTAACTGAGTCACAGATTCCATCTGTTGTACATAACCCAGTCTCTGCATTAATCAAAATGAAGCAGGCTGAGCTGGAAGATGCTATGCCTACCCTCAAGCTTCCAGCTCTGGGGCTTGGTTATCATCTCCCAGTCACAAAACCCACAAAAACTCCTAATGGGAGTGGACAGTAACATTCTTCACCTCTGGGAGCCAGGAGAGAACACACTTTCTGCCCCTTTGTTCTCCCACAGTTCAGCTCCTCTTTGCTTTCGTTCTCAGCCAGACAGCCATCAAATCTGCTGGCTCTTTATAGGCAGCAACCTCTTAACTTCACCCCATCATTCCCGTTCCCACAGGATCGGCATTTCAACATGGTGGAGTATCACGTTCCGGTATCTGCAGGAGGGGTGGCAAATATCTTTGATCTCCTGGAAGCCAACAAAGCAGCCTTCAATATCAGGCACTTCTCAGTGAGTCAAACAACGCTGGAGGAGGTAAGGAATGAAAGATGTGTGGCCATCCATTTAAAACTTAACCGGGGAGCAGGCTGATGGTTGCAGATAATGGACTGCTGCACACAATAGACTACCTTTTGAAAGGGATTTCCATCTATATTCCTCCCAGGGACACTTTATCAGTACTACTGCCTCCAGATACCTGTGCTGCCACTAGGAGAATGCACGTAGGAAGCTGCCTGTAGCATAAAGGGTCTCTTCTTCCTGCTGTCACTGCTGATTTCAGCTGCCTCATGGGTGTGGATGAAGGGCAGGATATGAATCACCCTCGAGTCCAGTGGTAGACTTTCCACCAGTCATAGAAATTTGTGTGATTTTACTCTTTCCTAAACTGTATTTGAGTTCCAAGTTCATTCAGCATTGCTCCAAGCTTTTAGCTTCATGGTCAAGTTCCCTCCATTTTCCCTTGGAAGAACATTCCCACTGGCATCAAAATCTTGTAGGAAACACATCAGCTGAAGGGATGCTGCCAGGTCTATCCAGAGGAAATCATCCTGTTTGAGCATCAGCATCTGATACATTAGAATCATAAAGGTTGGAAGAGTCCTCTAAGATCATCAAGTCTGAGTGTCAGTCCAACACTACCATGCCCACTAAGCCATGTCCCAAAGTAACATGTCTGCATGGTTTTTGAACCCCTCTAGGGATGGTGACTTCACCACGTCCCTGGGCAGCCTGTTCCAATGCCTCACCACATTAAGTCTGTCCCAGAGAGAGGGGCAAAAACTGCAGCTCTGTAACCCTGTTGTAATACAGAGATCAGGGGAGGGGGGAAGGAGGCCCTTGATGTTGTTTTAATAAGATGGCGAGAGAAACGGGCAGACAAACCACAGGAAGCCCCGAGTCCTGTTTTGTGGGAGGACAGCTTGGATTTGTGTGTATGCAAATGTGATTGCAGGTAGTGTTCTGGTAAGAATATTTTATGTATTCATTAGAGACTGTTCAAACGAAGACGGTTACGTGTCATTATATACACCTATCTATATAATATGCAGTTGTGCCTGCACAGATGTCAATTATATAGAGACAGATGGGTTTATAAAGTAATAATATAGCTGTGATCAAAACGAGCCACCACACGGGTATTGCCTCGCTCATACTTGTGAAACATGAGCTGCAGGACAATTAGGTTTTGAAGAGGAACATCCACCTTTGCATCCCGGGTGTTGACTCAGCGGTACAGGGGTGAGCATCCATTTATTTACGTCAGCCCCTAGAAGCCCAACATTTGCAATTCTCAAATCCAGCGTGAATCTGCTCCTGAGAGCTCTCTCCAGGCTCACAGTCAACCCTTCTTGATATTCATTCATATCATAAACTATTTATGCTGTCACATACTGAATGTTTCCTTTCAACTTCTAGGTTTTCATCAACTTTGCTAAAGATCAGGCAGATCCTGACGGCGTGGATGTGGGTCCTGATGTGACACTGGACAGCTCTGACACAAGTAGCCAAGTTAGCACCATAAGCTCCATCTATTGAAGGGACCCAACCACAGAGGATCATAGAAGCCGGGGAAAAGACCTCATGACCCCTCAGGGTTCTTCCAGCCCTGTTTTCTATGGTTCTGCATGGTAGTAAAAAGTCCCATTTTCTTAAAGTACTTTTTTTTTTTTTTGATATGCACTTACTTTGTTACTAGGAACATGGTAGGCATTTAAGACTGGCATTTGGTTGCAAATCAGATGGGTCTTTCCACAGGTTTGTTTTTCCTTCCCCCCCAGTTCTTGTTTCATGATCATTTTAGTGCCTGTGAGGACTTAGTTGACATCACCTGCTGCTTGTGACAAAAAAAGCAGCCCCATGGCTGCCCTCTCTGGAAGTCAGCTCTCTGCTCATTGCTCAGCAACAGACTTTCTGGGTGACCATGAGAAGGTAGCTCCGTTCTGACAGGTTCCCCACCGGTGAAACAGGGTTCCCAGCCTTGCCCTCCCTCACAGGGGTGTTGTGAGGACGTGGGTGTTGTGTGCTGAGTCGCATATGCCATTGGTGGGGGCTGTCTTTGGTAATGACATAAAGCTTCTCTTGTATGTGTGGGTGTCGTGGAGGTGAAGTACGTCAGTACAAATATAATTATTTTAAAAGTCAGCACTTCTAGCGGTTTTGGTTTGTTCTGCATCTTATTCCAGCTTTATGTAACTCCTCGAGTAAGCCCTCCTGTCCCAGGCAGTTCCTGGCTCTTGGTACCCAATGGAAGGTCATTCCACCAGCCAGCCCCTTTCTCCTTTTGGCTGGCATTCAGGGCTCCTCCACTGCAGCAGAAGAATGGTACAAGGGAGGTCTATTTGTTGAATCCTCCAACGTGAAGGAGTTTGCTTTGTAAGATTGTGTTTCCTTGAGCAAAGTAAAAGCAACGACCGTCTCCCTTGCTCAGAAAAACTCCCTCTCCCAGGCAGCTCTGCCTCTCTGCTTCCTTTTCAGTGACCTTCCTCCCCAACACCCTGGTGGTGGCTGCCCTGGTAACTCCAGAGCTGTGTTTTCCCACATAATAAGGCATAATGAGTTTCTCCTTCAAAGACTCTGCCTGCTGGCTTTAAGTGAGACCTCTGCCTGCCTTTGAGCAGCCTCCCCCAGCTGCTGAGCCCAGCACACCAGCATGCACATCCTGCTTTTTACCTCAGAATCATTAATAGATAAAATAATTTAATGTTACTCTTTATTGTATGTATCAGCATAAGGCCTCAGAGACTCAGGTTTGGGTGAGGGCACAGAGGTATGTGGTGCTATTCAAGCACATAATGAACTTAAACTCTTTGAGCTCTATCGCCTTCCCCTTGCTGGTAAAAGATGTTGCTGATAAAGCCAGGTCGTACTTATCTTGTCAGACCTGGGAGGGCCCCTGTGGCACTCAAGTTTGGCTTCACACACACAATTCCAGCTGGAGGGATTCTTTTTCTTTTTCCCCCCAAAGCTAATCTGAGCCAAAGAAGACTTGAGATGAAAGCTGCAATGACACATCTATCTCACCCTGTCCATCAGAGCAGTTTTACTAGTTCTGTTCCCATTTGATGTTGAGGCTGGCTGAGATAATCACACAAGGAATAAGTACTTTAAATATCAAGGGTGTTTGGGATTTTACAGTGGAATACCAAAGTACAAAGTTTAGCTGCTGCAAGGAGGTCACGTTTTTCTCCTTGATCTTGGTGTAAACTTCTTAGTGATAGCAGGAGAAGTTTTGTTATGGATTGAAGCTCTGAATTATGCCTCAACCTGCTGCCTGTAATTAAAACCGGAATTCAGCTTCTTTCCAGAATGCATTTGACACCTGCAGTATAGAAGTAACTGAAAAAGCTGCCCAGACATTCATTGTAGCTTCTATTATTATGTCTCCAGCTCTGCAAAAGCTCTTTTTTTCCCTTCTCATTTTCATTGCATATCTTCAATGGATCACAGTATAAAATTAAGCTTTTCTCTAATGGAGGGCTTGTGCTCCCTGCAAAGGACTCGGAGCATGAATGCCAATGATTTAAATGCAGCCTTGTAATACCAATCAGAGTATTATTTTATTATGTCGATGGCTTTGCAACTGCCAGTGAAAGATGGATCTTTCAGACTCTCTCCAGATGTACTTTACATTTAATTGAGGGAGACCAATACAAAGCTATTCTTTTGTCCCTTTAGAGTCTACTAATCCTAAAAAAAAAAAAAAAAAAAAGGAAGTGATTCATTGGAATACTTCAGAAAAGTTGCTGCTTAATTGGGTAAAATAGAGTTGTTAAAAAAAAAGGCAAAAAAGCATCCTTTGAATTTCCACCAATTCTGATATTTTCTGGCATTAATAGAAACATCTGCTTCATGCGAAATGTGTCATGGCTGTGATATACGCTCCCCATTTTCACTTGCAGGTAGAAATAAAACATCTGCTATTGCAATCAAGTCTGTAGGTATTGGTCCAAACAAGCCAAAGTTTACATACTTAAGGGAATTTGACTGAAACCTGGGGAGATGCAGTTACAGCAGTTTAGGGGGTTGAAGCATCTGGCAGGGAGGTTGTACATAACATCACCAGGGGCTGAGCTACCTCTTGTGCCACATTACAAAAGCCCCTGCTCCCTGCAGAGCTTCACAGATTCAACCTGTCCTTGTCAGAGGCAGGACACACCCCAGGCTTGATTCACGGGCAAAAAACATGGAAGCTAATACGATCCTGCCTTCAAACACCAGTTCCAGGTTTCTCATCACCCTGCCCTGAGGAGGGTGATCAGAGGGAGATGATCAGAGGGCTGGAACACCTCTCGTACGAAGAGAGGCTGAGTTGGGCTTGTTCAGCCTGGAGAAGAGAATGCTCCAGGGAAACTTTATTGCAGCCTTCCAGTATCTGAAGGGGGCCTCCAAGAAAGCTGGGGAGGGACCTTTTACAAGGGCTTGTAGTGACAGGACAAGGGGTAATGGCTTTAAACTGGAAGAAGGTAGATTTAGATTAGAAATTAGGAAGAAACTCTGCACTATGAGGGTGGTGAGACACCAGAACAGGTTGCCCAGGGAAGTTATGGATGCTCCATCCCTGGATGTGTTCCAGGCCAGGTTGGATGTGGCCTTGAGCAACCTGGTCTAGTGGGAGGTGTCCCTGCTCATGTATGGGGGTTGGAACTAGATGATCTTTAAGATCCCTTCCAACCCAACCCATTCTATGATTCTAATTCCAGGGATGGCCAGAAGTACAGAGCCCTGCTTAAGTAACAACTGATCAAATTTGTCTTAAAGTTCACAGGCAGGCTGTACACGTCAGGGGAAGGATGGGGGCACTCCCCTATCTTCAGTGCTCATGGTCATCTTCACCCTGCCGATGCACGGATGTAGTAGCAGGTGCCCCCCTTTGTCAGCCCTCTCTGAATCCACTCAGAAATTTTTGCCTCCCCTGACTCCGCTTTCCCAAAGAACCCAGGCAGGCAACAGACTTGGTCCTTTCTTTGGGCTGAGCAGGGAAAACGCTGGCTCTGGTGTCCCTGGAAGGATCAGTGGAGCGCTCTGCGTACCCCTGCACATCATCTCTCCAGAAGCGAGAGGCGAACACCACAGTCTGGGAGCAAAAACAAGCTTTTCATCTTGCTTCTTTAACGCAGTCTCACTTCAGCCACCCTAATAACCCTTATTTGAGGCAACGGTGCTGGGCAAGCCCTGCAGGAGCGATCACGCAGCCCGCACGCATTAATTGGAACTGCACAGGCCTCAGCTGGGCTCAATTTAAAAATGCTCTAAAGTAGCAGAGACACCAGGTACACGCATCGTGATCGCTAAACAAGGCCGGGGCCAGGAAGTCAAGGAGGGATTTCATAATTGGTGATATGGATGGTGAGACTGATTCAAATCAGGTTTGTAATTGGAGTTGTGGACTTGGAGACGACGTCTCAGATCTCCACCCTGGCTCTCCTGCATCTACCGCTTTGTGCTGCTGCTGAGAGCACGGTGCTTCTGCTGCCTTGTTCTTGCTTAATGTAGGTCTCGACACAAATGGCTACCAAGGGCTGAACTTGCAGGTCAGAAAAGGGCAGGCAGGGACCTAGGAAAGCTGGCCAGGATGGGCCAATGTAAAGGAATGGTTGTCTCAGCCCTGACCGCTACTGTAAATGTAAATACAGGGACTAATAGGATTATTGTCTCCTTTCCCCGAGAGCCGCAGGAGGGGTTTTGTTACCGAGTCAGATCAGAAAACATGTTTATAGGGCAAACGAACACATCCAGGTAACACAGAGACTAGTAAAGCACAGGAACTGGTGATGCCCACAGACCTGTGGCCTGTCTCGAGTCACTCCTGGAAACCAGGATTTTCAGGATCCAACCTCCCAACAGGCTCAGGATGGGTCCCCAGTCTGTCATAGTGACTTCGGCTTCCTCACACTGCTGCAGCTTCACCAAAGCTGCTGTGAGGCTTTTTACAAGGCAAGAAAAATGTCTGTTCCTGCACTTAATAGGGGAAGGTTGTTTCTTTTGTGAGCTGATGGAGGAAGAAAAACGGTCGTTGGATGGCAACAGCACATAGCCTGATTTTTTTTTTTTGCAGACACCAGCTGTGATCTTGCATAGCTATAACAAAATATCAACAGCGTATTAAAAGCAAGCACAATAGAGAAAAGCAGCAGTGGGGAATGACAAAAAAAAAATTCACCAGAATTATTATTTCATGACAGTATTGAAATGTAAAAAATCACTCTAATTAATTTAGTTGTTCAGGGAGAGGGAGGAAAGAAGGAAGATGGCACTGAAATAGTAACAATAATGCTAGTAAGGGACACAGCCAGCGCTCACTTGCTGCTGGCTCCGCTCCTCACACTGGTCATGTCTCCAGACCACGCCCCTCAAAAATATCTGTATCATGGGGGGGGGCTGCATAGGACCGCCCCAAGGAGTACCAGTATATTGAACTTGGGGCCCAATCTATGTCATGGTACAATCCCACCACACCTGAAAGCCAGCACATGCCAAAACAGGGGAGAGTCCCTGTGGCCGTGTTCAGCCCAGGGTGGAGAAAACATATAGCTTGT